CCCCTCATAGTTTCTATTGGTTTTGGCCATTTAGTGCAGTAAAGGTTGACATAGTGTCTTTGTAATGATGACGTAGAAGATGACTGACTCTGGTGGTGGACTATCAGTCCCCGGGGTTGACCTTGTAGCTTATTTCGACACGACACGAATTATATGAAATACCCGTTAAGATTAACCATCTGTCGTAGACAAGAGTTTTAAATTTGGAAAGTTAAAAAGTTTTTTTTTTATCGTACCTTAACCCTATTTCTAATGTTTGATATGGGTTCGTTGTTTGTGTGTTTTACGTCCTATTACATGTACGGTGTAGGCGTTTCCCCGTCTACGATCACTATCACTCCACCACTGGGTCGCGGGTTCGAGGCTTGCGTGGGCCAGTCGCCAGGTATACGTACTGTCCGCAGTTTGATTATTTTTCTCTGGGTACTCCGGCTTTCCTCAATCAACATGCACGTCCTTAAATAGTTATAACTGTTATAGGACGCAAAATACAAAGAGACAGAGAGAGAAGGAGAACAATAAAATGTCAGCCCTGGGTAATTCTTGGAAACTTCAACAGATCAAAGACGAGTCCGTTTAGAGTGTAATTTAAACCATACCAGATAAAAAATAACTTGTTTCTACAACTTATATTCTTTGGTTTGCTAAATAAATAACGTTGTTCAAATCAAAAGCATGCATAAGAGATCGCATACAATATTTTCCTTTTCTTTAGGCCAATTAATGTATAATACCATAGCCCTTTTCATTTTATAGTTATTGCTTTTTAATGTACGGGAAAGTCAAACTTGTAGAATGTAAGATTCAGGCTATACACTGCACGTTTAAAGGTCTACCCTCAATACATAATGTATTCATCCTTCATTTCACCGAGAAATATAAAAGGTATCGGAAATATGTAGGAGATGGGGTGTATTTGTGAAAGGGCGTTGTCACTTAGCATATTAAATATATCGCCTGCTTGAATGCATTTCTGTTCAACGGCTCAAGGCTTATGAATAAGACAGCTTCTTAATAGTGTATTGATTATATACCAGACTTTGGTATATTTGGGAGAGATGAGGGGGCGTAGGGGAAACTCAGTTAGTTGAATATATTAGCAAATATGTATGAGTGCCAATACTACGTATTGTAAACAGTGTATGCATATATACAGTGTATACTCAAGAGGAACGCTGTTTTCTAAATGACCTAACACGCATTTGAAATGTAACAAAGTACATGTAACATGGACTTGAAAGTTCAATGAAGTTTAAACATAACATATATGCACACAGTTACTTTTTATATGCCCATCGAAAGTAATTCAAGTAATTCTTCTTCTTCCTCTTCCACTTCTTCTTCTTCTTCTTCGTTCTCGTCCTCCTCGTCGTCGTCATCCTCCTCCTCCTCATTATCGTCGTCGTTGTCAATTCATCATCATCATCATCATCATCATCATCATCATCATCACATCATCAGTTACATCACCATATTCTTTTATTTGTAATGAAGGCATACGCATAGCTTGAGAGTAATGTGTACAATGTTTATGTGCAGCTTAGCGCGGTTTATAACACATATGTGTGCATGTTCATAACATACACGTGTTACTCATCATTTGAAATTAGCCAGTGTGTAGGTAACTTCTTTAACTTATAAAATTTAAAAAAAGGCTGTAACCATTCCTTTTGTTGTTGTTACCCTAAACATTACTGGATGGTACAGTGTAATACATTGCCACTACCATTCGTGTATATTACGTACATCAGTCTAGTAGTATACATAAGAATAAGGGTATATCAATTCTACATGGTTTCAATCGCATACACTTAATGTATACAACAATACGAAGAGTCGAGAATAAATAAATGAAGTGATCAGGACAACTATCATCCCTATACAATCTAGTGTTTTAAACACGCAAACAGTCTAGGGCTTCTCAATGTCCTTCTGTAGGATTAATAGTAAAGTTCAAACGAATCGAAAATATTTCTACACACCCTAACAATTATAATAATATAATTACTCGAGGTCCTTATATACCGCTTTATTCGTCTTAGTTGTAGGTCGACTCAAAGCGGTTCACAAAGTATTATCCGTGGTTATAGGGCCTTTGCAACCATGCATGCAGCCAATATCTTTCTCAACTCCCTGGGGAGCATACAGCCGATGTTGCTATTAGGGCGCTAACAGCTAGCATTCCAACATTCCAGCACTGACCAACCACGTATTTCTTTACGGCTGAGTAGACTAGACAAGCAGAGTAAAGTATATTATTCAATGATACCACACAGTGCCATGACAGTACTCGAACCCGCAACCCTTCGGTCACAAGCCCGGCGTCCTCCCACTAGGCTACACTGCCTCCAAATCAACTGAACCCCCCCCCNTACTTCATTTACTCAACGATAAGGAATCACATAACTTCATATTTTAATAATTAAGTTTCGATCGTTTGGTATTTTTCGGAAAAGAAAAGCCTGTGTGACGTCACTTAAATTGTAACCTCTGTCTGTAGGAGTATCAAACTCTTTATAGTATACAATGTATATATATATATATGTAAATAAATCACAGGTAATAAACAGGCGTAAGAATTGGTAAATGACTACTCGAAACTAGCCAACAGCTGAAGCCAATACAAATAAAAAAGGATCAATTTCAATGTTTAATACAACACTGTGTGATTTAAAAAAATGACAGATCTTGAATATTAAATACCATTCAGCATAATTGCAATATGATACCGCTCTCTTGATTTCATTCATTGCACTTCTAAGTTCTTCGGACAATATCTATTAATCATTCATGTTTTATATTAGCGTTACTTGTGAATAGATCTATTATCCGGCCAAGTCTATTTACACTTTAAGGGAGTAGGACAATCCCCCCTCGGAGCCTCTTTTCCATGTGTACCTTTATCTATTGATATAGACCCGATAGATCGCCAAACATATAACCAATGCCTGCTACCGCTGAGGTTTCTCACCTAAAGTATTAGTTTGTGTGGTGGTGTAGTGAGCGAGGGCTGGTGTGGCATGCGTATATACAATGAAAGGGGTTTTCATATACTACGTTGGTCCTCTACAGGAATCTTTGACTTATAATTCCTCGCAAATCCCAATCAATGTTGATGGGATTATCAGTGACATTTTAAGATGATTGTTTACAGACTGATAACCCGGGACATATTATATTTACGTTGGGAATACGTCTCGTAGTTTATTAGCCAAAAAGGCGCAGACGTTCCGTATGAGATATAGCCCCCCCGGAAGACTCCGTAGTGAAGAATTACAGTCACATGTTATGCAAGGCGAGAAGACGTGTTTATGAGTTTTTGGAGTTATTTTAGATTGAAACAAGATTGATAACGTGCACGCGTGTTGTTGTGGACCTGCTCCTCAGTGAAGTGTAAACATTGTATTCTGTGACTTCTCCGGTTAAACATGGGATACATTTTGTGTTATATTTTGTGGTAATGTGATGGCGTGTTTATCACGAAGCATATGCTGCCGATGTCACGGCGTTGCACGGTGTCACCCGGCGAACATGATTTAAATGTCTGTGAATACATCAACATACATATCGTCTATGTTCCAGGTATCGACAGGTTACATGACAAACTGAACAGTCAGAGGATGTGAGATTTTCTCCCGTCAGTTTATTGACTAGATTCTTTAAGACGTCAAGTGGTGTTTTGTGGTTGATAAGCAGGGATATATTACACCATGGTTTATCTGAAAGAACACTTCAAGGAGAACAGACCTATGTTTAACAACCCGGAGTGGTTCGTGTGTTAATATTGACAGTCTGGAGCACGCATAAACGTTTTCAACAGTTTTAAAACTTCTAATAAATAAAGACATTCATCGGGGAAGTGTAGACGGAGATATCACGTGAAAAGTTTAAATGTTGAACGGATCAACAAAGGAGGTCTTTACGACAGATGAGTGAATCGTTTAGTGAAAGGTTGAGATCACTTTAACAGAGAGAAGTTTTTTGAGAAGTGACACTGGTTGTTTTTGTGTGCTCTGTTTGATATTGCATGGATGGCTATTTTAAATAGTTTATCACGGTGAGATGTTTAACTTGTCGACACTGACAGTGGCTTATACATACAAGCATTAACTCCAGTACCGGTATATACATGCCAACAAATATGCTTTGATCGGTATTCACCAGACGGTGTTATTCACAAGGGAGGAACACATTGTAATGACTTTTCAATATACCATAATGGCTTTCATTCAACGGGGATACAATTCAATACAGGAATTTAGGGAGGTAATGTGAAAAATTCCTGTGGTGGAACATACAAGGGACAATGGCGGGAAGAACACACAGATCTATAGTGTCAACAAAATATGGTGACAGGCCTCTTATTGACGTTCCACCTATTTCGTTCCCGCAACGTGTTTCGTATCAACAAACTATTCAAAACCCAAGATATCAAATGGGGAATCTAGCAGACGATCTAAATCTCCCGCCAAACGCACACCAGACAGTGACGCCCATGTATCCTCAGCAGAATCATGCGCAACCATCATATGGCTTCAGACCGAATTTAAATCCTTACGGGAATGTTATACAGAATTCCAACGTTATTCCGTACCAAAGTGCACCGGTACCTTCCTATCCATATCAAAATGGCGGTCCTTCGGCCTATCAACAACCGTACCAAAATGAAGGTTATCCTTCTACCAATCAGGGATTACAGGGTCCGTCAGGCGAAACCCATCACTTTTACGGTCCACACGGAGAGAGAATCCCTGCACCAATTCTCAATAATAATTTTGGTTTCCATAACCAGATGCGTTACCCGACCAACTTTAAGATGAAAGGTAAACTTAAACGTGGCCAAATGACATCGATTGAGGTTGTGGAATCTAACATTTCTTATAGAGATTTACCAGATGTTGTGATCAAAGACCTTAAACGTTTGTACGGGCATATTGACAAAGCGGATGTGACAATTATAGCTGAAAGCGGTGAATATCATATATATGCAACACCTAAACAAAATGGGGTACCTCAGGTCAATCCAGGTTACAACTACGAGAGGCGCAGCCGCGGGGGATCAAACACGGCCGACCACTTCACGAAGAAGTACCACCAAACTGATGACGTAATGTACAAATTTGATCCAACCGCAAAGACGTACTACGTTGATCCTCGGTCATACTCCGTGGCCAGTGAGGGCAGACGACCTCGCGAATACAAGGTAACGGAGGAGCCCAGGCTCCCAGTACCTAAACCAGTCAGAAGAGACTTTTAATTCAAATTTAGCGCCAAAAAATATGCTTATATTTCATTTTGTACACAATATTCCTTCTGGTGAATCCTGAACGCCACTGGATACAGTTTGGAAAATAAACCTGTAATTACATGTAGAAGTTGCTATGTACTCGGTTTAAAGTTCATTGAAATAATACTTGTAATCAAAGATTAAGATTTAAACTAACAAAATTTGGGTTTTCTTTCGGGCTGGATTTAAATGATGTATCATGCATGTTTTAAGTAACTACAGTAGCTGTATTTTACATGAAGGTAAATAGAAATATGTTTTTTCTAACAATTATAAATGGTAGTTTCCATTTAAGTTTGGAAGAAACGATTTTGAGACATGCATTAAATGAACTTGTTAAGTATATGTTCGTCTAATTCTATGCAATACGTATGTGTTGTTTTCACGTCAGATGGCCAAGTTTAATGTGCGACCGAAGCGTATGAGTTAGATTATTGAGTCCACGCAAAACAAATACAATATTTGTGGAATTAACTCCTTCTACTGAGGACATATCATGTTGTATGCATAATACAATTTCAAAGATTTTAACGAATAATGTTTAATTTGCTGCGTTTATTTTACTTTTCCAAAAAACCGAACGAAACAACGTCATGAATAGAATAACGTCAACATAGTTATAATGTAAACATATTTATAATGTCAACATAGTTATAACGTCAGCATAGTTATAATGTAAACATAGTTATAACGTCAACATAGTTATAATGTCAACTAATTTATAATGTCAACTTAGTTATAACGTCAGCATAGTTATAATGTCAACATAGTTATAATGTAAACATAGTTATAATGTCAACATATTTATAATGTCAACATAGTTATAATGTAAACATAGTTATAACGTCAACAAAGTTATAATGTCAACAAAGTTATAATGTCAACTAATTTATAATGTCAACTTATTTGAAATTCTGTAATCATTCACTTCATCTGCTTGTATTTTACTTCGTAGCAAATGGACTTATCATGGCAATAATCTAAATCATGTAACTTTACATCTGCTAAGAGCCGTACCATGGACCATTGACCTCCAAGTCTGACGCTCTACCAAACGAGATAAAGAGAAATTCTCTCTAGTCGAGTCGGTGGAAAGCATAGAGTGTTTAGCCAGGTGGAGACATATAATGCATCAATGTGCACCCTCGATACTCCAGGGGTTACACTCACTTTTGCTTTTTGTACCCCTTGAATATGTCATAGCAAAATGGAAGGCTCAGTATGCGCCACCTTGTTGATGAGACTAGAAGACTAGTCCAATCATTTGATGTACGTCAAAAGAATCTCGCGGTCGCTTAACGGTAAAAATGAATGGCTTTGAAGTCGGGTGTCGCTCCTCTGTCATATTCAAAAGACATGTATCAGCCTAGCGATTGGTCAGGTTTTTGTTTTACCTGAGACCAATCAAACAGCTATCTCTGTGCCTTCAATTTTGCTATGACATATTCCAGGGATGCAGAGAGCGTAATCCCTGGAGTATCGAGGATGGTGAATGTGATAATCTGTATTAAATGGATTGTAATACCACCATCCTCGATACTCCTGAGGTTAAGATTACTTGCGCTTTCTGCGCCCTTGGGATATGTCTTGACAAAATTGAACGTACGAAGCTAGCTTATTTATTGGTTTCACGTGGAAAATCCTAACCATTCGCTAGGCTGATGCATGTGTTTTGAAGATTATAGAGGAGCGCCATCCGACTTGAAAGCTGGCTATTTCTATCGTTAATCTGACGCACGATTCTTCTGCAATCGGGAACCGTCGGCAGTTTCCGTAAACGAGAAAATCTTTTCTCGTTTACGGAAAGTGCCGACGGTTCCTGATTGGACATCAAATGATCAGGCTATGTCCTCTCGTCTTATCCACAAGGTGGCGCATACGGAGCTTTCAGGTTTGTCGTGACACATTCCAGGGGCGAAGAGAGCGTTAGTGAGCACAACCTCCTTCTAGTTCAAGTTAAATATGAAAGGTAATCCCAATTGATGATCGTTAGAAAATATATAAACACGCTGTTAAGAAGTACTGTCTAAGGTACGGTGGCTGATAAGGGACATCCAGATTTATCCAGATTATTATTATCTCGTTATAATATCGAGTTAGAATCTCGGTATTACGACTAAGTATTGGAATAACGATATAATAATTCGTTCTACATGTAACAGGATACTAAGTCGTTATAACGAGATATGAATAACTATTTAAATGTCCTGTAACACAAAAATGAAAGAAATCACTTTCGAACGTTTATCATTAAGTTTTGTCTTTCATGGAATTTTGAGTACACAAGAACTTATGATGTCAAATATACGAAATCTATACAAAATGGTTATACAAAACAGTACAAAATTACGGTTGTAATAACGTTGTTGACTTACTTTTATGACTCGTATTCCTTGTTATAATAATGGTTTTTTGTTCTCCTTTTAGATTTGATATTTCTATTTGTTTGAACTATTAATTCAATCAGAGGAAAACATATTATTACATTAAAAGCAAACTGTGGCAAAAAGGAAAGAAAAAAAGGCATGCAATAGCATTTACCTCGTTTGTGTCGTTTTCAAAAAAAGATGAAAAAATCCCAAAGACCTAACAAGAAAATAGTTGTATAATCGGATATTGAACATCCCATCTCGTTAACGACATCCGTCCTTTCTCGGTTCATGTATTAAAGTGTCCTGGTAAGCAAATTAAGTTATAAACGAGAGGGCTAGATTATGGAGGATCGCCTGTATTGTATCTGTGTTTGCTGACTATAAGTAAAGATGATCTACGCTACCTTACACTGTATACCAGTATTTTGTGTTAAGGTGAATGTGCTTTAAGTAAATAAATATATGTTAATTTATTATTTTATACGTTTAGCTATATGCTATTTTAAACATTTTCCCTGTTATTTGTGTTAGAGTTAAGGTTATATGCTACCTTACAAATTTTATCTGTGATAAGTGTTACAGTTATGAAAATATGACAACTTGCACATAAAACTTGTGATTTGTCTTAGAGATAAGAATAAATGCTATCTGACACATGGTACTTGTGATTTGTGTTAGAGTTCATGATATATGCTATCTAACACATGATACTTGTGATTTGTATTAGAGCTAAGAATAAATGCTATCTGACACATGAGATTTGTGATTTGTATTAGAGTTAAGAATAGATGCTATCTGACACATGGTACTTGTGATTTGTGTTAGAGTTCAGAATACATGCTACCTTACACACAATTCTTGTGATTTGTGTTAGAGTTAAAAATAAATGCTATCTGACACATGAGATTTGTGATTTGTATTAGAGTTAAGAATAGATGCTATCCGACACATGGTACTTGTGATTTGTGTTAGAGTTCAGAATACGTGCTACCTTACACACAATTCTTGTGATTTGTGTTAGAGTTAAGAATACATGCTATCTGACACATGCTACTTGTGATTTGTATTAGAGTTAAGAATAGATGCGATCTGACACATGGTACTTGTGATTTGTGTTAGAGGTCAGAATACATGCTACCTTACACACAATTCTTTTGATTTGTGTTAGAGTTAAAAATAAATGCTATCTGACACATGAGATTTGTGATTTGTATTAGAGTTAAGAATAGATGCGATCTGACACATGGTACTTGTGATTTGTGTTAGAGTTCATGATATATGCTACCTTACACATCATACTTGTGATTTGTGTTAAAGTTAAGGATATATGCTTTCTGACACATGATACTTGTGATTTGTATGAGAGTTAAGAATAAATGCTATCTGAAACATGAGATTTGTGATTTGTATTAGAGTTTAGAATAAATGCTATCTGACACATGAGATTTGTGATTTGTATTAGAGTTAAGAATAGATGCTATCTGACACGTGGGACTTGTGATTTGTGTTAGAGTTCAGAATGCATGCTACCTTACACACAATTCTTGTTATTTGTGTTAGAGTTAAAAATAAATGCTATCTGCCACATGAGATTTGTGATTTGTATTAGAGTTTAGAATAAATGCTATCTGACACATGAGATTTGTGATTCGTATTAGAGTTAAGAATAAATGCTACCTTACACACGATTCTTGTGATTTGTGTTAGAGTTAAAAATAAATGCTATCTGCCACATGAGATTTGTGATTTGTATTAGAGTTAAGAATAAATGCTACCTTACACACGATTCTTGTGATTTGTGTTAGAGTTAAAAATAAATGCTATCTGCCACATGAGATTTGTGATTTGTATTAGAGTTAAGAATAAAGGCTATCTGACACATGAGATTTGTGATTTGTATTAGAGTTTAGAATAAATGCTATCTGACACATGAGATTTGTGATTCGTATTAGAGTTAAGAATAAATGCTACCTTACACACGATTCTTGTGATTTGTGTTAGAGTTAAAAATAAATGCTATCTGTCACATGAGATTTGTGATTTGTATTAGAGTTTAGAATAAATGCTATCTGACACATGATACTTGTAATTATTATTAGAGTTAAGAATAAATGCTATCTGAAACATGAGATTTGTGATTTGTATTAGAGTTTAGAATAAATGCTATCTGACACATGAGATTTGTGATTCGTATTAGAGTTAAGAATAAATGCTATCTGAAACATGAGATTTGTGATTTGTATTAGAGTTTAGAATAAATGCTATCTGACACATGATGCTTGTGATTTGTGTTAGAGTTAAGGATACATGCTATTTAGAGTTAAGAATAAATGCTATCTGATACATGATACTTGTGATTTGTATTAGAGTTAAGAATAGATGCGATCTGACACATGGTACTTGTGATTTGTGTTAGAGTTCATGATATATGCTACCTTACACATCATACTTGTGATTTGTGTTAAAGTTAAGGATATATGCTTTCTGACACATGATACTTGTGATTTGTATGAGAGTTAAGAATAAATGCTATCTGACACACGATACTATGATACTTGTGATTTGTGTTAGAGATAAGGATATATGCTATCTGACACATTGGTACTTGTGATTTGTGTTAGAGTTCAGAATACATTCTACCTTACACACAATTCTTGTGATTTGTGTTAGAGTTAAGAATACATGCTATCTGCCACATGATACTTGTGATTTGTGTTACAGTTAAGAATACATGCTATCTGACACAGGCTACTTGTGATTTGTGTTAGAGTTAATGATATATGCTATCTGAAACATGATACTTGTAACTATTATTAGAGTTAAGAATAGATGCTATCCGACACATGGTACTTGTGATTTGTGTTAGAGTTCATGATATATGCTACCTTACACATCATACTTGTGATTTGTGTTAAAGTTAAGGATATATGCTTTCTGACACATGATACTTGTGATTTGTGTTACAGTTAAGAATACATGCTATCTGACACAGGCTACTTGTGATTTGTGTTAGAGTTAAGGATACATGCTACCTTACACATGATACTTGTGATTTGTGTTACAGTTAAGAATACATGCTATCTGACACATGCTACTTGTGATTTGTGTTAGAGTTAAGAATAAATGCTATCTGACACACGATACTATGATACTTGTGATTTGTGTTAGAGTTAAGAATACATGCTATCTGACACATGATACTTGTGTTTTGTATTAGAGCTAAGAATAAATGCTATCTGACACATGATACTTGTAACTATTATTAGAGTTAAGAATACATGCTATCTGACACATGATACTTGTGATTTGTATGAGAGTTAAGAATAAATGCTATCTGACACATGATACTTGTGATTTGTGTTAGAGTTAATGATATATGCTACCTTACACATGATACTTGTTATTTGTGTTAGAGTTAAGGATACATGCTACCTTACACATGATACTTGTGATTTGTGTTAGAGTTAAGGATATGTGCTTCCTTACACACGATACCTGTGATTTGTGTTAGAGTTCATGATATATGCTATCTGACACATGATACTTGTGATTTGTGTTGGAGTTAAGGATATATGCTTCCTTACACACGATACCTGTGATTTGTGTTAGAGTTCATGATATATGCTATCTGACACATGATACTTGTGATTTGTGTTAGAGTTAAGGATACAAAGGATACATGCTATCTGACACATGATACTTGTGATTGCTGTTAGAGTTAAGAATAAATGCTATCTGACCCATGCTACTTGTGATTTGTGTTAGAGTTAAGAATAAATACTATCTGACACATGATACCTGTGATTTGTGTTCGAGTTAAGAATAAATGCTATCTGACACACGATACTTGTGATTGGCGTTAGAGTTAAGGATACATTCTATCTGACACATGATACTTGTGATTTGTGTTAGAGTTAAGGATAAATGCTATCTGACACATGATACTTGTAATTATT